ATTTTTTTTTTCCGTACTCGAGAGGGCAAATACCCCATGATGTGCGCATGCCGTGGACTTGTGATTTCTCTGCTACTTCCCATACGAAATGTACATGTATTCGCATGTACTGTGCACGATTCGCGTTCTACGAGTAAAACGATGGCATAGTAGTCTTCAAACACAGACTCTGATTTGCCAGTTTGACAAAACAATTACGCGATATCGTGCGTAGCAATAGTACTAGTATTCAAGTCTGAGTAGTTGTATGATTCAGACATTTTAGTGCTTACAGAAATGCATCCAAATTGAATAGCATGGTGTTATAGTAGTCTGCAAGCACAGACGCTAATCGGACAGTTTGACAACATAGTGTCTTGAGTAGTGCTTTATATTCAAATATGTGTAGTTTTATGATTCAGACCCTACTGGTGCGTGTTTGGAAAGGCATCTCAACTTGCAGAGTGGCATAGTAGTCTGCAAGCACAGACGCTAATCTGACAGTTTGACAAAATAGTGTTATTCAAGTCTGAGTAGTTTTTATGATTCAGACCCTACTGGTGCGTGTATTGGAAATGCACCTCAACTTATAGAGTGGCATAGTAGTATGCAAGCACAGACTCTCCTTTGACAGTTTGACAGAATAATATAGGCCTATTGTGTATTGAGTAGTGCTTTTATTCATTTTTCGTAGTTTTCTGTGTTGTGCCACTGCTCTCTCACTCTCTCTCTCTCTCTCTCTCTCATCTCTCTCTCTCTCTTTCTCTCTCTCTAGCTCTCAGCACACTACTAGTATGTTGTCAAACTGTCAGATTAGCGTCTGTGCTTGCAGACTACTATACCATTCTATACAAGTTGCAATGTATTTCCATATGCACTACTGGGTCCTGAATCATACAACTACACAGACTTGAATAAGCACATCGCGACACATACGCATATTGATTTGTCAAACTGGCAAATCAGAGTCTGTGTTTGAAGACTACTATGCCATCGTTTACTCGTAGAACGCGAATCGTGCACAGTACATGCGAATACATGTACATTTCGTATGGGAAGTAGCAGAGAAATCACAAGTCCACGCGCATGCGCACATGGGATTTTTGCTCTCTCGAGTACGGAAAAAAAAATTCGCGCGCCGGGGCGCGGGCCCGGGCTCTCCCGCCCTGCCCTCGCGGATCGCGCCTCGTCTCCATTCCCGTGTCCGAGTCTATGTTGTTTTTTGTTTTTTTACCATTGGCATGCCATCATAGATTAGGGGTTTCGTGACTTGAGCGGCACACCCCCGTCCAACCAAATCTGAATTTTCATTGTAAGGTCGTAGGCGCTATTGGAAATTTATTCGAGAGCACCGATGGATTTTATATGTTAATTTCTCGAAGTCCTTGGCTTTGCAATTTAGAGCTCCATTTTTTTAAGTTGCTCATAATTCTAACACTAGGTTTGACAATGGTAATGCAAATTTTAAACTTCGTATCCAATCCTGTTGAAACATTACCAAAACTTTGTATTACCTTAAATTTAAAAGTATACACATGCTTATTTAGCAGTCAGGACTGTCAGGTACAATCAGGACTGAAGTTCTGAACATTCTTTATCGTTGAACATAATTACACTTTAGGGAAGCCTTGGCTTCGTACTGCAGCAGTGGCTTGAAAATTATGTTTTTTTCTTAAATCACAGACTTCACTCTAAATGTACTATGCAGTAAGATATATGTGTGTCTCCCCCCCCCCCCCCCCCCCCCCCCCATAGCACATTTTCGAGCAGCTTGATATAACGCTCGATTGTAGGGTATATCAGCTGGCCTACAAATGGAAACAAGATTCATAATCAATGAACTAAATGTTAAAGATGAGAAGATGACATGTGAACTGTAAGGAGTGAGATTTGTAAGATTAAATTTGGCTGGTATTCAATTGCAAAGAAAATCTGTGTAACCTTACAATTTGACATCATACAATGTTTATACTGGACCCTAATCTTTTGCTTTCAATTTTGTTTTGCAGGTATTTTGCCAATCATCCTCAGTTGGTAGATTCGGTAAGCAATTTCTATTTTTTAGTATTCTTTCTTACACTAGCATGTTTTTGGTTAATAAACCCCTTACCGGTAATTAAACTGATACATGTACTGTAAATCAAAATGTCATAGACTTACATGTGGTGATCTGTTGATATTTTCTTTCTTTTATTAATTGACTTTCAGTCAGTACTCCATTCAGTAAATAGGCCTACAATTTTGGCTAAGCAGGTTCAAACTTCAACAGTTTAACCCCCTTTAAAACATGAAATGTGCAATATAATTCTGACTGATTTACTAACATACTAACATCTCCCAAGTTGGGATCTGTTGAAAGTTATTATGTTACGTAAGTTTTTCATTATTATTTTATTCTTTTTAAAAGCTTGCAGAATCAAGATTTATGAGGAGACTGGCACAGATGACAGCATATGGAATCAATAAAGCCAATGAAGTTGGTAGGTA